CTTTAGAGCGAGGGACACGCTTTATCTTGTTCAATTTTTCATAATGAAATATTCCGCGGTTACGACTACCGCACATCCATTGAAGCTGCAAGCTGATTGGCCACACATTTCTCGGAGCTAGAACTTGAACCATATGGGGACTAGTTGTAGCCCGTAGTAGCGCAGTGGTAGCGTCTTCGGCTGTTCTTCGGCAGAGGATCGCAAGGTGAGGCAGGTCTTTAACAGACGGCGATTGTGTATGGTCAACAGCAAGAATGTATTCACAGAATATACAATACATATACAAGTGTATGTTTAAATTGTGATAGATCTTAGGCGTCTAAAGGCGCTGAACTCGAATAATATCTCATTACCTACGGCCGCCGCAGACCAAGTTGTAGTATCGTGGACACAGGCCTTGCAAGTGATCGAGCCGGCGACTCGCCTCGATGATCAGGCTGCTGACGACAGCAGCGGCGGCTCGTGCAGCAACCTGTCATCGTCGGCAGCGACGACGGCGTCCTCTTGACGGGCCGGGTCGGCCGGTCGGTACGGCGCCAGCGTCGTCTCTCCCACTTCCCGGCGACTCGTCCTCCCGGCCGGCCTTCTCTTGAAACCACGTCCTTCCTTGGGTGTGGTTCGTCGAGACGTCGCTCTCTTCCGTCGACGAGTCGCCGGACTCGCTTTTCCACGCCGCTAACCGGCCTCCCCTCGTCCGGACGTTGGCGGCGCGCGGTTGAAACGTCCGTCCTTCCGCGTCCGCGAATCACGCGCTCGCCGCAGGTGCAAGGACGAGCGGGCGAGTCGAACGAGAGCGCACAGGGTGAATGGATAGAAGAGAGAAAGATTGACGGCGCCGGGACGAGTGGGGCGAGAGCTGCAACGACGTTGTTCATCGATTCGCGTTGCGCTTTCACGGTTGCGTGCGAAACGCGACGGAAAAAGCGGGCGGCCCTTACTCGCGCTGACGTGCGTGCGTGCGAGTGTGTGCCTCCGCAGTGGCCTGCCACGGTGTTGCGAGTGGTGCCAGAAGTAAGACCGCGGCGTTCTCCGTCGGAGGAGGAGAGGCTTCGCGTGCCGACGGGCGCAACCTGGCGGTAACGAGCGACAAGGCTTCCGCAGGGGTTGCGCGTCGTCTGCTTCGACCTGCTGCTGCTGCTGGTGGTGGTGGAGGTGGTGGTGGTGGCAGCGGCGACGGCGGTGGCAGTGGTGGCTTCCACGAGAGGTTATGTCGCCGCGGCCTCGATGACGCTCCTTTGACAGCAGTTGCGGTGACGGTGGGACGGAGCGAGTGGGTTCCATCGATGCGTATAAACCTCCCTTTCCACCTCGACGCCCTCGTAAGCGTGTGGACGTCGTCGTCGTCTCTCTCTCTTTTTTTTTCCTCTTTTTTTCCCCTCCCTGCCCTCGTCGATCGAAGCCGCCGTGGAATTCTTGCCTGCTCTCGCTATTAGCCGGGACAATGGCGCGCGTCGCGAGAGAAAAGCGGAAGAACGATACTGCGTGACGTCGCACCGCCCCGTTGTCAATAGCACCCTTTCTCGTTATCGATAACGCGTAAAAGCCCCGAGGTTCCGCCGACCTTCGTATTTCGGCCCCGGGGCTTCGCCGCGCGGGGTCGAATTGTGTTGGTCGATAACGTTCTCGGATCGCAATGATTCCGTTCCAACGGAACCGCGTTTTATCCAACGTGCGTGTTTCCCACCCCTTCGCCCCCGCGAACGAACATCTTGGAGCAGAAACGGGATAAAACGCAAGTTAACTCCACGGGTGATAATTTTATTCGCGAGGCTGCGTGAAAAGGCCGGTCTTCGGCGTTCAGTTTTATCACAATTGACCTTTTTCTTCATTTATACATCGATTTATTGAAAGCCGGTGCACAACTTGTGTGCTATTATTATTTCTTTTCTCTTATTGACGAGCGCCAATCTCTTCCTATGTTCCCGTGATACAATCTGCTTTACTCAATTCAACCAAGAGACTCGAAATTTTCCCGACTCTCGCGGTCTCCAGTTTGTTTCTTCCGAGAGAACTCGCGATAGGAATTTGTGATATAGCGCGAAAATATTTCCCACGGTCTTTTTGTTCTCTGCCTCCCTGAGCTGCCTGCCAGATCTTTTTCCTCGCGCTTTCTCACGGCCGATGCATTTTCTCGGAGATATTCCCCGAGTCGACGCGTCGACATTTTCAACGAGTATTGCAATTAGCACGGCCAAGTTAATTCACGTTACGTATCCCGGTTCTCCGAAAAGTGCTTGTTTTTCCGATCTCGTTTGCGCGTGCGCCGAACTTCGCTCTCGCTGCCCAGCTCCATTCGGAAAATGAGAACACCTCGCGTTGGATCGACAACCCTCGGTTTCCCCGGGTCGCAAGATCCCGCGGAGGTGAAGGACGCGTCGCGGATCTCCGTGACTATTCCAACACGATCGGTTACGGTAGCTCGCGAACGGCATGGTAGGGAGAGAACTTTCACAACCAGGATTACGTATGTACTTGAGAGATGTTCGCTTATCTCTCGACGAGAGACGCAAAATCGTGTAACTTATCTAGAATGAAAGCGGCAAACACACACACGTGTCAGTACTTTTCAGCATTAATCGCGTCGATGAAATTTGGAACATCTGTTTATCTGCGTGTAAGAAGAAGAAATTGGTCGGAGCAAAACGAGGGGGAAACCGCTGAGGGCATTGTGGTGTACAGATTTGCGGCATTACTAGGCATTTTTTGGGGGGCATTAGTTCGGGCATTATGAAGATAAAATAAGATAAAACAAGATAAATAAGATTTAATAAGCTAATAGGATCAAGTAATGCCCACTAATGCCCAGTGGGCATTACTTTATCTTATTATCTTATTTTATCTTTATAATGCCCCAGCAAGGCCTATGCCTAAAAATGCCTAGTAATGCCTAGTAATGCCCAGTAATGCCGCAAAACGGTATACTACAATGCCCCTCGACGATTTCCCCCTCGGAGCAAAAGTAATCGATTGTTGTTTCGCCATTCTATCGTGTGCTAAAGGGAATATTCTGTACCTTTCAGATGTAATAATATTCATATCTCTCTGCTTGCGAAAATCATAAACTTGTGATTCTGGTTTGGAGATTTTGCTTTAATTGAATTGATTTTGGTTGGAGATAACACTATCTGCAAGTTGTTCTCAACAAAATTAACGAAATGTTCATTTTAAATATTAATAAAAAATATTGGAATATGATAGCGAAAGGAAATTCGACGAAATTTTGAATACAGGGATACATTTTTAAATAATGAAAAATATCGATGCACAGAATTGTTCTTCGATCGATTCTCCATAACGATACATTTTTTTTCCATAGTAATGAAAAAGTGCGACATTTATTTTTCCAACAAAACTGGGCGGCGAAAATCGTGTAACTTATCTAGAATGAAAGTGGCAAACACACACACGTGTCAGTACTTTTCAGTCAATTATCGGTTTTCCGAGTTTATCGATATTACATTGCAATAACTAGTCGTACCGGCGTCGACCGATCGCTCGTCGCCGTGACGGTGATGTACGTCGCGCGGATGACGTTTTTCTCGAGGAAAAATACGCGCTGACGAGAACTCGAATCTCCGGAGTCGCGGGAACTTGAAGGAGAGAGAGAGAGAGAGAGAGAGAGAGGTCGCGATAAAAATATCTATGTGCGCCACACAACCAAAATATTTTTAGCGAGTCGATAATTATATTTGCTCCTTTTTTATGCGTCCGACATGCGTGACGCGTGATAAGAGAAGCGCTCTCCCATTATTTTCTCCGATCGTTTTAATTAAAGTCGTCTCTAAGGCCGGATCCCGATCAAGCCGAGCGAATGAACGGGCCCGCTTTGACGAGTGCCAAGTGCCGAATGCACTTCATCTCTTTTTGGTACGTCAAAGAGAAAAGCTCGTTACACTCGTCGCGTTTGTCGTAAATGTTCGCGCGCGTTTGTTCGCCCTGCCTTGACTTGGATCCATTTCAACGCGATTTGTCGATTATCGCGCCGATACTACACTCTATCTTCTCTTCGACGATAAGACATACCAATTTATCAACTAGTATTGTCATTTCTAATTAGTATGATTCTTCTCTACGCGATGTACGAGTTGTAAATCGGTGTTGCGATCGCTGATGCAGCAGAGCTTCAAATTTAACATGCCTTTGCTTCTCTCGCGGTGGCAGTATCTTCTTCAATACGTGAGCGATACGAATCATTACGCGTATCTGGAAATAACTATTTATTTTCACTGGTGTGTTACACTTGAAAGCGGCACGCGTGCCAATTAGTGAGCCGGGCGAGCCAGACGACGATACAGCAAGTGTATTTAAGCTTCAATTCATCACTCTCGGAGTACAAATATTTATAAAGCTTCACTAATGTTCCTATATCGTTAGACTCTCTAGGCTTTCCTCAGGCGTGAGTTTTCGCGACATGCGTGCACAAGGCCTCTATTTTGCGCCGCGTGCGAAGTCGACGCGATTATCTATCGCAGTCATTAAGAAACTGCTGTAGTTCTCGGAAGACGTATGCGGAAGGCTGCTCAGGAATGCCGTCTGTTCGTTTCACTCGACCATCAAACGCGATAAAATTGCATCCACATGAAGTATAATGTTCCGTTTATCTCCTCCGCGGTATCGTGATATGTGGAATGGCTACTAATTCAACACCTTTGCCTTCTTCGTAGGATAAATCTTAAGCCTGATCCGTAACGTGCCCTTTGCGTCTAGAAACATTCTTTCGTTTTACACAAGCAAATCGGAACTCTCAAAAAATTTGTCGACCATGTACGATGTATACTGTACAATTTATCAACTTGCACCGATTTTTCAAAGGTATTTATTGGCCACAAATAGAATGTGTTCTAGATGCAAATGACACTTGTTACTTATACGATTTGACAACGATATTGAAGCTTTTTTTGCAAATCAAATACGGTCGATATTATAAGCAGAAATATTTTTCAGACCCCACATTTGTCAGCGAGTCGTGACTGACCGACATTCGATGTTTTGTGTTTCAGAGGTGGCAACGGTTTCGTCGGGCAGTGTCGAAGTTGGCGCGAGGGGCGGAGAAGTCAGCTGTGGTCTGGCTCAGGTTCCGGTGGTAACGGCGGAAGCGGAAGCCGCTGCAGTAACGAAGGCAGGGGGCGAGGAGGTGGGGCCGGGTGAGGCTGGTGGTAGTCCCGATTTCATTAGGAGACGCAAATTTCATCCCTATCCCCGTCACCTTCGTTTACCTCCTCTTCTTTTACCTCTCACCTTGCCTCACGGGAGTGGTAAGTCCGGGGGCGTTCGCCACCGGCCACCGAAAACGCTATCGACGGCGTGACACCGGCCCCGCGGAGAGTAGGCGCCGCAGACAGGAGTCACCGCCATCCGTCATCATCGTAGAAATTGCGTTCTGAGCCCTCCCCGACGAGAGGAGGGAGCCCCGCCGACTCCTCTCGCACGCGCGACGTCCTAGTACCTCGGACCCGTTAACGGGTGCTCGTAAGGCACGCGCATCATCTGCCAGACATCATGAACGAGCTCGACAGCCTTCGTCAAGAAGCGGAGACGCTGAAGAATGCCATTCGGGTAAGTATCCTGCGCTTCCTTGCTTCGAGATTGCAGCTTCTTCCTTTTCTTTAACACACTACTAAAACGTGTGGGTACATTTTTTAACATCCAACTCACAGTTCCATTTGTCAATATTTTTTATCAATTTGACAATGGTATGAACAAAAAGAATACAAATTCATTGAGTTATTTGCGATCAAATATAATCCATTGCTAACGCGACGCGCTGAATACGTTAACCCTGCAATAAAGCAGGGGCTTCTTAAGAGAAAAAGATCCAGTTTTAAATATCCAACTCGGTTCCATTTGCCAAATATTTTTTATTAATTTGAAAATAGTGCGAATAATTAATTACCCTATTGCCATCTATAAATGCATTTCACGAAATAAAAATTCAATGAGTCGTTTGCGATGAAATATAATCCGTTGGTAACGCGACGCGCTGAATACGTTAACCCTGCAATAAAGTAGGGGCTTCTTAAGAGTGAGAGAAAAAGATCAATAATTGGATCTTTTCCGACAAATTTGATCGAATCGACTTATGCGTTTTGCACCAGATTTTGCAATTTGACGTAACTCCTTTTCCGACATTCTTTGCTCTGGACGTTGAAGCGGCAATCGTAAATTTTAACGATAGAGAGACATTCTTCTATGGCGAATGACTTTCCGTATAGTTGTGAGAATATGGAGCCGGCTAGAGGTGGTGGTAGTGTGGTGGTGGTAGGGCGCGGCATAACCGTCGCTTCTCTGATCAATACGCCACCATCCCTCTCTCCCTCACTCCATGTCTTGTTTCTTCTCTCGATGTATTCGTCTCTCTTTCTTCTCTCTGCTCCCCTTCCTGCCCTCCCCTTTTATACATGTATAAAATGCACGCGCTCGCACGGTATGCGCGGAAATATGCGCTCGCGAAGAAAGAAAATAACTCTATCAACTTTGCTAATTGTTCATGACGCGTACGATTTTTTTTTGGATCGCAGTTTATTAAATAAAATAGCCAACATGCGTAACGGATACCGCGAATGCTACAATATTTTCTTGTGAATGAAGATTTTTTCATATCACATCAGTTGATTTAATAAGTGACACTTTTGATATATATAATATATATAGTTTTTATCAGTATCGCACAATTAATTTACCCGAGGTTATTTTATCGGGAAACAAATATATCACCGCCGATGAAATGTACGGCGAGTTACAGTAAAAATTTCTTGTAAAACGAATTGTAGAAGTGCGGAGTAGCGCGGTCTTATTTTAGAAATCACTTAGCAATAGTCTCGTATATACATCTTTAGTATATCTTTAGGCGCATACTAAAGGCAAAGAGTTATATCCAATATGCTTTAGTATTAAGCCACTTTAAGTACTACTGTATTATAATCCGATTTTAAAGGTCAGTCCAAAGGCAGCATTGCGGCATAATATCGGACTAAAGACACGCGAGCAGCATTTATTGAAATTTTCCCCCTCGTCCCGCAACTTCCCTTTTTCTAATTCCCTGAAATTCATGAAAATTTTTCAGCATTCTATTTAATTCACCGACAACTTCGGCCGTGATCGTCGTTTGACCTTTTGGGCCGAGCTCGTGTATACGCGGGCATGGCATTAAACGAAGTTTTCACGTGGAATTTATTAAATTTTCGCATCGGTGTGTATTCGCTGCCGGTGTGTTCCAATTAAGATGCTGCTTCAACGTGAAATCTCGAGGCTTTAATTATCATTGAATAACACTGCGGTGTACAGATAAGATTTCCTCGTTATACTTTACGCGGCTAACAGTAACGAACAATTGCACGCGCGACGCGACGATCCCTCTTTCTTATCACGTTATCGCGAGCTTTATCGCGTGTGTTAGGGATCAAACGCGAGAAGCAGATCCCGACGCAAATTTACAAATTTGCCTGTGATCTCATGCCGCAGGATGCCAGGAAAGCAGCGTGCGACACGTCCTTGGCCCAGGCCACATCGGGCATGGAACCTATCGGTCGCATACAAATGCGAACGAGACGTACGCTGCGCGGTCACTTAGCTAAAATTTATGCGATGCACTGGGGAAGTGACTCGAGGTATGACGCTAGATGCAAACACGATGATTCGAGAAGGCGATTAGCATGCAAAACTGTTGGTCATTTTAATTGTTAAAATTGTAGTAGAAATATAGCTTTGTCTTGTATTTTACGTTGTTGTAAAGTGTGTTAGCCTTATTAAGGGTCAATTTCACAAACGTTGGTTAATTGTTAACGAGAGTTGAGTCAACTCCCTACCTTTTTCTATCTAGTTGTCTAAGAAGAGACAGAGAATCAATTAATCTTCGGCTAGCTGTTAACCGATGTTTGTGAAACTGGCCCCAAGTCATTAGACTAGAGATTTCTCTTCATCGTGACGAGTTTTCACCGGCGTTTATTTTATACTTCTCGTGCGTAGGAACCTAGTCTCCGCATCGCAAGATGGCAAGCTGATCGTTTGGGATAGTTATACTACCAATAAGGTTCACGCGATCCCATTACGGTCATCATGGGTAATGACTTGTGCGTACGCTCCCTCGGGTAGTTACGTAGCGTGCGGTGGGTTGGACAATATCTGTTCCATCTATAGTCTTAAAACTAGGGAAGGGAATGTGCGGGTGAGCAGAGAACTTCCGGGTCACACTGGATACTTGTCCTGCTGTCGATTCTATGACGACAACCAAATCGTCACCAGCTCCGGCGATATGTCTTGGTAAGAATTACCCGGAGATTCATGACAGACGACCGGAAATTACCATATAACAGAAAAATCCTCTATATCCTCTACGTTATAAATTGTTTTTGCAGAACAAAGTAAAATCCATGAAAATTTTAATGCCTAAAATAAAGTTCAAATTGCACACCTCTCTCTTTAGTGATCGCCTATATTTTTTGATTCAGAAAATTTAAAGAATCATGAATACGATTATCGACGTATTGTTGAATACGTTTTATTAAAAAACGATAAAGAATGTGGAAAGCGATAAAAATTTAATTTCTGCTTTCTCTTCCTACTCTCAAATCCCTCCCATCATTGATTCCGATGAAGATTCCTGAAGATTATGGCGCGAACTAGAAGGCCAAATTGTTCTGATTCAGTGCTTTATGGGACATCGAAACCGGCCAACAGTGCACCTCGTTTATCGGGCACACTGGCGACGTGATGTCCCTGTCGTTGGCGCCGGATACGCGCACCTTCGTGTCTGGTGCGTGCGACGCCAGCGCGAAGTTATGGGACATTCGTGAGGGCTCCTGTAAGCAGACCTTCCCCGGTCACGAGAGTGACATAAACGCCGTCACGGTGAGCTATTCCATTAAGAAATGAAACCGTGTTATTTTCTAACGATAATACTAATGCACTTTCGTAAGAGATTTATTTAAAGATTAGCTTGAACATTTGGTACCATTATTTACAGTTCTTCCCGAATGGATACGCTTTCGCGACGGGCTCGGACGACGCGACCTGCAGACTTTTCGACATTAGGGCGGACCAGGAACTCGCGATGTACAGTCACGACAATATCATTTGCGGTATCACCAGCGTAGCGTTCAGCAAGAGCGGTAGATTATTGCTGGCGGGCTACGACGATTTCAACTGCAACGTTTGGGATTCTATGAAGACGGAGCGAGCTGGTAGGTTGATGGTACCTCGCGCGAGCGATAGTCTCCTTAAGAGAGAAGAGAAATTTTATTCGAGGCCCTTCTCTCTATAATCGTTTTTCCTTCGAGTTTGCTCTGTCTAACGATTTTGATTGTTGAAGTAAAAGCTGCTGCTATTTTATTAGTAAGTATTCACCATAATTCTGTTCCCTAGGAATTCTCGCTGGACATGACAATCGTGTGTCTTGTCTTGGCGTTACGGAAGACGGTATGGCGGTGGCGACAGGCTCCTGGGATTCGTTCCTACGCATTTGGAACTAACTTGGGGCTCTCCCAAGGACGTTCCTTCAAAGAACCAACTACAGTCAACCAATTTACAGCATAAGAATCAAGTACCACCATCTGACTACCGAGCAAGTCGGCATGCCAGCAGCCACGACGCTGGCGAACAATCCGCCATGTTCACCGAAGTTGACGCTGATCAAAAACTTTGGATACCGGATCAGCAGCAGTAGCAGCAGCAACGGCAGCAGTAGCAGCAACAATAACAATTACGATCGTATGAAGACCCATGATAGCAGCGGCAACAGCAATGGTGGCGATTTCAAGAATGTTTTGGGTTGTGGTGGTAACAAAGAAGATTCCCGCGGCAAGCGCATCGTAGTTGACTTGACGTGGCGACGTGGTAAAGTCGGCGACAAGGACCATGAATATCAACGCTTCTAGGATGAATTGGCTCGAATTGGGTCGAATACGAAGATACATTGCGGCGAACGAACGAGATGTCTAAGAATGGAGAACGAGCGCCGACAGTTAAGGGCTCTCTGCGGCATTGGGCGCGCACTTTCTTTTTATCCTCCCCTTTCTCAAGGATTTTCTTCGCGAACCTTCGAGAGGCACGTGCTGTTCCGCGACTCGATGGTTCTATTCTCACAGGGGTACTCCCAGTCGAGGATTCCGAAGTTCGAAGGACGGACGACAATCTCGCGCCGACGATCGTCAAGAGATTTCCATCTCGAACCAAGGTTCAAGCGTTCACTGCCGAGGAAACGCTGTTAACGGTTGCTCCGGCGGTTAGCTACGGATTATATTTCTCATACGCGAGACGAGATTTTATCGGGCATGATACGATATGTAATATTGCGTCGTGACTCAGAGATGAGAGACGAGCACAGCCAACCTCATAATAGTCTCGTAATGATGCGTTCGAGTTTATACGGCGCACATTGAACGCACATGTGTATCGATGGAGATTCACGACGCGAATTGCGTACACCTGCACGCGAAAACGGAGGAACGGTGCGGATCGTCCAGCAGCCTCGAAACACATCCAATTCGCACACACTCGTCACGCGAGCTTTGCCCTCGTGCACGAGCACCGTGGTCGAGCAGAAAAGAGAGAGCGAGAGATATATACATATATATATATAAATATAAAATAAGATGAGATGATCACTTTTCTTACCATGATAAAATACGCCGACTTCGCACCACTACAACTATTACTATTATTACTATTACTAGCACCACGACCCTCTCGATTGATTTCATAGATATATTGTTATTTATTTTGTATAGACCTCTGCCATAGGCCGCCCCGCGTCTGCGTTTTTTGCGAGTGCAAGAGCGACTGAGCATGTTGTAAAAGTGATCGAACGAGAGAGAGCTGTGAGAGCGTGAAAATGAGAGCGAGGCGCGCGGCCAATTGTCAATCAAAAAGAAAAACGAGACACGAAACGCGCGGATAAATGAAACAAGTGCTAAACGTAGTTGCTCCATCGATAGATAACTCGATTCCTCGGGACGTTGACGTTCACGGAAGAATCACGAGAATACGAGGAGCGATGCTTCGGAGTTCGGGAAAGAGTAAATCGAGTTTCGTCTGCTTTTGCATCGCGCGAACGCGTTAAAATCGCATGAAATGACGGGCCAGCGTCAAGTGTCGAGTACGTTTAATGTAATGTGTAATCGTTTAGTTCATAGCGTCTATACCTTAACCTTCTCTCCCCGTCCCCTATCCAATTATCTCTGATTACGGCAACGGCGAGAAGGTGAAGAATTAATCCCAGACTATCATCTCGGCGGTATCTCTTCCCCACTGTCGATTGAAACGCCAATTAATTCTCGTGCACGAGGTGGGCACGTGCTCTCGATCGAAAGAGTCGTGCTAAAAGTACCTTTGAAATAGGACCCAAAGAATCCCAGGTTGATAGAAAGGGCTGCGAGACTCTAAACTTTCTCTCTTTCCCTTGTCATTATTATCTTTTTTTTAATCCTTTTTCCTTATCGCATTTTGTTTGTCATATAAATCACATATTATCACACGTAAGTACGTATTTGTATTTTTTTTCGATAGCTTTTTTTTTTATAACTTTCACCTATATACTTCTCTTTCGCGCTGTCACTACTTACCTTCCTCTTCTTTCACCCCCGCCTGTTCTGTCCTTTTTTTGTCAGAAATAAATGTTGAAACTGTGTATGCATTTAAAATAATAATATTAATGATAATGATTATACTATATTAATATTAATGATGATCGTAATTTATAATTATTAATATTTAATATATAAGTACATAAGATCGATGGTTTTTCTTAATATTGCAGGATTATATGGTCCAATCGCCTTCCGGCAACCACGTTCCGGCAGTCTTTTTTATTTTCTTTTTTTAAGAATTTTGTACATTTACTACACATACACACACATCTGTATATATAAAATTGATGCGTTTTACTTTTTGTTTGTGTTATACGAATATCTTGATTCAAAAGGAGTTCCATGAATCTTTGTTTTAATTATAAATAAAATATATAATTTGTATATGTGAAAAGCTGTTTAGTATCACGATAAAAATTACGGTGGGATGTGTCAGTTGCTAAAATCTGAAAAATTGAAAAAAAACGTGGATTCCGGAAAGCGACTAATGAAAAATTTCTTTCCCAGTGGAACAAAGCAAAATTGTAATTTGGCTACGGAGCAAGCGAGCATCAATCTTCGACGATTTTCGAAAGATGTTGCACATCTCGAATTCGAATTTCGTAAAACCGGTTCTTTTTTTAGACGTACATATAAACTTAATTTCGCTTACGTAATGCTTTATACTTGTTAGATATCAAACGGGCAAAAGATCTTTCTTCGTCTCGAAAGAGATCCTTGTTCCTTCGATTCTTTATATTATTAACAATTCTTCCAAAGTTCGATGTGAGATCGGGCGCTACGTTAAAAATGCGAAATAGAAACGCGAATTAAGCGTCCGCTTTTCGATACTTTCGATATAACTTTGAAACGAGAGACGGGATAATATCTTAAAGCAAAGAATTACGAAGGAATAGGAAAATTTAGTAAACAGACTAATGGAAACAGATCTGTGCTTTTTGCATTTCGCGGTTCCATGGCTTTCCCAAGGAAGAACTTTCTCCTTTTTGTACCTTGGAGCCTGGAGCGATATGGTTTCTTATTTTTGGTACAAATATGGAAAAAATAGTCTTACCGACGAGTAACGCAAAATTGACAAGTTATTAAGCCTCTAGTCATATTAATGGCAAGCGCGTAAAAAATAAAAAAGATCAGCAGGTAAAACTAAGCGGAAATAATTTTTTTTAACGTGTCCTTTTTCGCAAAGATTACGTATACTGACTTTAACTGTTTAATTTATTTTTCCTTTTCGGCACACAGGTAGATAAATAATAATATGAGCGATACAGGGGGAAAAATAACGGCATAAGAACAGCTCTGATGAAATCAGCCTTTTCTTTTTCTCTCTTTTTTTTGAACTTTTTAAGAATATAAAGAGAATAAAAAGATTTGGAAAAAGACTCAAACGTGGCGTTTCCGTTATTTTTTTTACCGCTTCTTCGCTTTCTGTTTCCTCCCTCCGTAAGTGACACTTTCGCGTGACTTATGGTTTCGTTATCCTGACATTATCTTTGCGTTTTGGGCTTTAACACGGGGAATCTTTTTTTCTTTTTGTTACATAATCGTTACATAATGTAAAGTAATGCCCTGCTAAGGTATAGAATTATGGCGTTGGGTCCTATTTCAATTATAGAATAATCTTCACTAGTGTATACGCGTAAATGTAGTTAAAAAAAAGGGGGGAAAGGAGGAAAGAAAGGGAAGAAACGTGAAGAATGTGCCGACGACACTTTCGTAACTTGTTTTACGATGGACGACGAGAAGCCGTCGGGAATACTGCCTCTTTCAAGTAATGCACAAAATGAAGAATAAATTACGATATATAATACGTGTATTATACATAAAACACACACTAACTAACGTGCAAGCTTCTGTTAAAGTTTAAAAAAGAAATGCGCAAGAGGACGTGGCCGTGTAAAACAACTAAGACGTGGAGTGAAAAGTGCATCGATGAAGAATTATATCGGTGAACATTATTCGAAAGGGCGATGTACATTCACTCGACAACTGAAAATTGAGAGCGAGACACGTCTTTACTGTTAAATGGTAGATAGTTACAAAGATTTCATCACTTTTTTATATATAAAAATATATATACGTATATATAAATTATATGATAATTAATCATTATTGACGGTTAGCCTAGGTCATTCGCCTATAGTCATCTCGCGGCAGGGGACATTTCCACGAGACACGTGAATATTCCAAGTATCGATTTTCTTCGTTGGTAGACAAATCGCTCTTGTTTCATACGATATAATTGCGTTATATCTCGTGGATGGCCCTGTCGCAGAATCATCGTCACCGATTCATTATTCGTATGACAGGAAGAATTGTTTCGGACGAGATCTGTTGAGGGAATACGTAGAAAGACGAATTTCGTCGAGTTATAGCGATGGATAATCATTATATTTGAATCAGGGATGAATTTCAAAAGTTTCCTTTGCCCTATTATCGAGTCATTCCATTCCATCTAAATGTTTCAAATATGAAGAGAGGTGTCTGTACACATACATGCAATTACATTACTTCTGTTGTAATGAGCTGTGTTATCTTTCGAGATATTACATCTTTATTTAAACTTTCACGTATCGTCCAATAATACTCTGCAGTAGAAAGGCTTACGCGAAAAATAATCCAGAAGTCGTTCTTTCGAGCACAAACGTTATCTGCCCGCTTCATTGGCCACATCGGATAGGTCGTTCAGATAGAAAATAAAATAAAGCTATCCTTTTACACTCACACACATACACATGTACACATAATTACATTTTTCTGCTGTAATAAGCTACGTTGGCTTTCAGTATCGCATCTATTTACTTCAACTTTCGCCGGGAAATTTATCAAAATAATATGATATCCGATAACATTCCGCAATAGCGAATTTCACGCGAGAAACAACCCAGAGATGATTCTTTTGAGCATATAGAGATCATCTGCCCGCGTTCATTGATCATCCGATAGGTCAGACATAGAAAATCGAGCGGTATTTGGTAAATATGATTAAAAGGATGCAGATTCGTGTACAATTAGGTATTATTAGGGGTCATCTCAGAACGTGATTGTATCTCCCGTCGCAGCTTCTAAAATGTGAGATAAAAATCGCGCCGGATGAATAGGGGCGTTCGATTAATAACTTCATTTCGAAAAACTGCGTGATTTGTATGACCGAGTACGTGAGAATCGCTTGCCCCCCCCCCCCCACCCCTCTCTTGTGCGTTTTTCTCTGTGCAATTTAAGATCATAAATTCGAATGTGTTTTAACGTTTCTGCACCAAGTGGAAGCCACGATAAATTGTTTAAGAGTAAATAAAAATCGATTGAAGATTCAGTTATTTGCGTTTTATAAAGAATTTATTACATTGGAGCGCCCGATTAGTATGCTCAGAGAAACATCATCGCGAGTCCAGTTAAGAAGACGATGAACACATTGAGGGCCGTGTTTGCATAGTGTTCGATAATATCTTTCGATTTCAATGTCGTATCCTAAGTCGTTGTAGTTATCGGCGAGTTTTTTTAAACGCAGATACATACGTAAATATACCTAAGAGAATGTGGAGACGCAAGTGCAAATCCTAAGCGAATTACGAATTTGAGACACGAGCTTTTGTTACTTCATATATTAATAGCGTCAACTCGATTCCTTCACAGCGTTTCTCATTGACATACGCGCGATTCTAGTAACGTTCCGAAATACTAATGAGAGAGAGAGACGTCATTTTTATGAACTTCATCACTGAGACGTTATGGTTTTGTAAAGTTTCCTTTAGACACGCCTTAAATCGTCTAACGATTTTTACGTGATTTTATTGTAAATCTAGTGTTATGAAAGTCTGGTGCATTCGATCTGCAATCATGAAGGAGAAAAGCGGGAAATTAATGAACTTGCTGTATTTTTGTGCACTTAAACTTTTTTACGCTTCTTAACGTAATTAAATATCGAGGAACCGGTGTATAATCCATATTAAAGATAAAAAGAAAAGATATATTTTCAAGCTAGATAATGTCATTCGCCAGTGATATTTGGAACATATCTTTGAACTAAAAATTGCATTTCTGCATTTTTTCTTCATATAAAATTACAATTTACGTATCTTCTTTTCATCTCCAGTTTATCGCGATGTCACAATCACAATCTTACTTGTAAAATAATTATCAAAGTACAAAGTTTGCCAGAATTTATCCGCGAAAACGCTTATAGATCGCGCTCTTTTTACGAAATGAAAATGCATCACTTTTAACGATTAAGTTACGACGAAGCTTCGTCCGAACCGGGAACAAGTATGAAAAAGTAATGAAGAAAGAAATGGCGAGGAAGGCTTTATTTTTATTGCATCAGAGCAAAAGACTGACGCGTTTTTCAGTGTCAAAGTAATTAAAGAATCTTCTTATAATAAAAATCAAGTTGCAAAATAAAAAAGAGAGAGGCGACGGGTGTGACAAACTTTTGTTGCTTTTACTTCGTGATTGCAAATTAGGGTAACCGGCATTAAGCTGCTGTGTCAAGCATAATTGCTTCTTTTATATTCTTCTCTGAGAAACAAAGCGGATAATAAGAAGCATCTTTTCCCGCAGAGGCGCCGTTCGTTTTTGATATCGACGAAACTATGCGTATTCGACGATGAAGTTGACGACCCTACAATAAGGGACAAAAGAAAGAACAAAAAAACGGCTAACTTCCCAATTTTTGAAAAGAGAAACTTAGCATGTAAGATACTCTCTGTAACGTAAACCATAAGTCGTAAGGTGTAAGAACGCATTAAATAATTATTAACCGCGACGGTTAATAACCATAAATATGATCGCGATAACGATACGATAGTACGAGGAGATAAACCCAAAGAGACCGTGCAAGTGTCGATAGAGAACCGATCGATGGATGGCGACAAGAGTCACGCACAAAAGAACTACCTAAACCTACATCGTCGCGATTCTCTCATTCTCGATCATTGATCCGCTCTTTGTCGACACTCGGTACGTTCCGAAGAATAATTTACAATTATAGGGAGCAAACGAGAGTGCGAGCGAGAGCGAAAAGAAGCGCACGAGATCACAAGTAACTACATAAGGGTGAATGTGAGGCGAAGAAAACGAAGATACAAAAAAAAAATATAAGCAGAAACAAGATACCAAATTTGAGTTTTGCGTGCCTGTGCGGAGGAGCGAGGTGATATATACGTGCATATTTATAAATCTATTACTATAAACGATCCTAGCGGGTATGTAATCCTTACGTTTGTTTGGGACGAAGGAGGGGTATACATTCGTACAGATCCCCTGCGTAAATAAAGCGAGATGGGGTACGTGAGGACGGGAAGTGATAAAGACGAAAGAAGTTTCACGACGAAGGGGGGACAGTTTCGTTACACGCGGTATCACTCTATATAAATATATTATAATATCAAGAGCTTCTTGCCAAGTGACAAGGTGATAGCTTCTGCAGGAATAAGCGATCCACCTGGGATCTGTTTGAAAGCCATAGGCTGACAAGAAGGGCGACGGTAAAGATGTAATATATTTAAACGTGACAGATTACCATTTTTTTCGCGTGCGACCGGTTATCATTGCACATAATTACGGATTAATTATTATTAATATTATTAATTATGGTTCATCGACATCACCGCCATTGTCATTATTATGATTATTATTATTATATAATTGATGTGAGTGTGGACACAAAAATAAAGTGTACGTAGTAGAAGGCCGACCCATTCCACCACCTGCCGTTTCTTTTGAAATTTCGACCAAGTTTCAAAGTTCCCAAATTTAAGACGAGCCTTGAAAGTAACATATTTATTTCAGAGAGAAAAGCAAGAGAAATATTGAACATTCTATGAACTTAAACTAATGAACGTTATATCTGTTATAACAGATTCTTCAATCATGCGAAAACTTACTAAAAAGTAAAGTTCGTTCCTAGTTTTAATATTTGTCCTCGATCAAGTGCATTAACTGCATTTGTTTATTTAACAATAATATAGTAAAACTTTAATTAATTCTATTATAATTGTCCTGTGCAACTTGCATCTCTATACTCTTTTTCATATTTGTCGTGACGGTTTTGCGTTCCTCGTTCGGCAATACACGTTCTTCCTTGCATTCTGTGTTTACTGCTGTACATAATGTTACAATCTTGATTTCTTCTTTCGAATTAACTGCGCTTTCTTGATTAATACAGTTTTCAAAATCATCAGATATCTCAACCGTCTCTTCGGATTTTTTGAAGACAGCCTGAAGGTAATGTATAAATTAATATTATATTTAGTCAATCACAGCCAAAAGTTTTTTTAATTAAAAACAAAAATAATTTTACGTACGAAAGAATTTTTATAGATGTATAAGACATTGATTATATATGTATAATATTATACTAACATCTGTTTGTTGGGAAATAGTTTGTGAATTGGTATGTGATTGTTCTTCAATTCCTTTTTGCTCGCAAGTTTGTTCTTCGGACGTTGTAGAACATTTAGAAATCACCTCAATCAGCGGTTTCTTTAGTAATTTATTATCAGGTAATATTTCCTTCGATTCTTGATTGTCCATTACAAAATCTGGCTTGATCAATAATTTCTTTCTGCTCTCTAATTCATGTAGATGATCGCAAAATTCTTTGTAAAATGATACATTGGCATTCATTGCCGGTGACTCCGACTTACAGTCCTCGGATTGTCGTAAAAGATTGGCAAGCGACTGAATATCTAGAAAAGACGAGTACAGTTCTAAATAATTTTAAATTTCAAATTACTTGTTATATTTATATACTAATCTTACCAGAATGACTAGCTGACACGGCGGATTGCGAATTGATCGTTTGTTCCGTCAGTAATTCTTGTTTTTCGGGATATACATTTGTCATATCGTTAGATTTATTGTCACAATTGTCACCAAAATTGCCCGCGAGTTTACTAAGATTCATCTTCGAAACGCAACCGAATGGCAAGTGCTCTTCGAGACTTGGATTATAATATTTATGACATTGCAATTTTTCGCCTGCATCTTCCGTCTCTTTTATCAGATTTGTTATGCATTTGTCGATCAACGGCGATACTTTCCTCGCGAATTTCTTCGTTTCTTGTATCAGATGCTGTCTGCATCTCTCAGAAATTTGGTTACGAGATTTGCGTTCCTCCGGTTTCTTTCCGGGATTTATTTCCTCGATCAGGAAAGATTTCTTGTTGCTAACCTCGATATCTTCCGCCTCGCGAATTCTTTTACCTGTCAGTTTTGAAGAGTGACTTGTTCTTTCTAAGGAAAAACGATCCATCGTTCGAACGAGCGATTTCCTTTGGGAATTAGATTGCTCAGTTGAAAATTCTTGCTTTGATATCTCGATTGTATCACATTTTTCTGATTTATTATTGATTTTCTCATCCTCACAAATCACGTCGTTATGTTCCTTATTTAAAATTATTTCCTTCCATTGGTTATCTACTTTAATTGAATCGGTGATTTTGTTACAATTATTTTCCATATTAATTAAAACTTCTGATGGTTCATAATTGCCTTCCGAAACTTGTAAATCTTCTTGAATGGACGTTGCTGTCTTAAAGGAATCGTCGTCGGATTCATCAATGTTTCTCTTCCCTTCGTAAGATTCAACCGAAAAATGATTAACTTTGTCTTCCAAAATTTCGATTTTCGGAGAAGAATTATCCTCCTCTGCAATAGTTTCATTTAAATGTTGTTCATTGCAATCAACAAGACCTTCCATATTGATGAGGGTAGAGACACTCTTATTCTTCGTATCGATGGCTGTTTTTTCGTAATCCGATCTTTCTTCTAGAACCATTAATTCGGCTGAAACTTTCGGCTTGTGTATTTTTTGTACACAGTCCCGATTTCTCAATTCAGCAAAGAGACTGCTGAACACTCCACCCGATTGTTCTTGTCTTTTTATAGGTTTCTCGCAGTCATAATTTTCCGCATCTTTTATGGAATATACTTCTGTCGAATCCGGAAGGACACTCGATGGATAAGTCTTCAGTGTCACCATGTCATAGATATCTTGAAAATTATTCGTAGTATCAATCGGCTGTTTTCTATCTTGCGATGAACAGCAATCGAATTTTTCGGTATCTTCTACCTCTACTTTGTTTTTCTCTGCTTCGTCCTCTCGTTTCTTTAGAGTCTCCTTGACCTTCAGTTTTCTTTCCTTGATACTCCACCATCGCAGTTTATCTTCCTCGCTCGCGGAAACCTTGATCCCGGTTTCTTGAATCTTCCTATCATCAACAAAATCAGTTTGCAAATTCTCATCCACCATCTTTCTCTCGCCCCAGAATCCTTCCACCTCGCCGTTCTTGAACACTATCCTGTTTTCGTCAACAAACCTATCCATACTGTCGCAGAATTCTCTCATCTCTTCTCGGATACTGCTAAGTTTAGAACCGAACGGATATTCTTTGCTTTTTCTGTGATAGCTCTTGTTATTTTTACTCGATGTATCGTCTCTCATGTTGATGACTGTATTTGCGAACTTATCTTCTTCTAATGTCTGTTTTAAATCCGACGTGTCACACGATACTGAACAGGTAGATATTCTCTCGTTTTTATGATCTGTAAGAAAGTTTAATGGCAAATTTAATCAAGGTAAGAACAATTATAGACAATGCGAAAATTTTTCTTTAATTATATGTGCGTAATTATTGTCTCACTGACAAAACTGTCTAGCTAAGGGTGGCACGAAAAAATTAATTCTTTAATAATAACTCGCTCACCATTTGTTTCATTATTGTCATTGATCGATTTTTCTGGATCCGCCGTCTTTTCCTTTTCCATCTGTGATTTCAATATTACTTTTCTATAATCAGCAGTTTTCCTATCGAGCATACAATCGCTGGATCGTGGATCGTGTATATTTTTACAATTATTCAAAATTTGTTCCTCGTGCGATTTTCTTCCTACATCATCAGTAGTATATTGTTGTTTAGATTCCGATATTTCTTCGATCAGTGTTCGCGGTTGAATCTCGTCCCGAACCTAGCAACGAGGAATAGGTGAACAACTTTTTATTCCTCCTTAAATTCCCATACGTTATAAGAAGGATCGCATACCTCGACTTTCCAAGGCAGCAGAAGCTCCCCGTTGTTTCCATCGGAAACTTTTCTCTCTTGCTCCGCCATTGGCCTCCTTCCGTCACTTTCCTCGCCTCCTTTTTGCCGCGTGCGTTCGTTTTCTTCGTCGCCTGCGAGCTGTTCGTCTTCCGATGACGACGACGACGACGACGACGGCGGCGACGACGACGACGACGACGATAGAGAGTCGTAGGAACTGAGGAAGGATCGCTCCTCGGATTTTTTCTTCCTTTCCAAGTCGAGCTTTAGCGTGTTCATCGTAGCCGGTATCATGGGTGCAGGAGATCGGAAGGTGTGCGGGTTTTACGTCGTGAATGATCAAATAGCCGACGGGACCGATGGTGGTGATATTATTCAAAGCACGAATTCTGTACCAGACCTTGACGAAACTAGTTCTTACCAGTCCGCTGCTCCTCGTCGTGGTGCACACGTTTGATTTCGTGGCGACTTCTTCGTTCTCCTCCTCCTCCTCCTCCTTCTCTTTCTTCTTCTTATCCGTCGCCTCCTTTTCGGACGCCTCGACCGGTTTGCGCAGCTTCCTTTTGTTTATCAGGGCTTTCGAGGGCGGGCGCGATGTTCGACAGGTAAACAAAGACCGACATCCGAGGAACAGAACAGGTGAAAGGAGTGAAAAGGAATAAGGGTGGCCATTTCGAGCCCGCTTCAAGTAACGAATCTTTTAACTCACCCATGACACTGTCGTTAATTTTCTTCTGCTCCGCCTGGATCCATCGATTTCTCTCGGCCACCTCCTCGTCGACGCCGCCGCGCATCCTTAAAGATATTTTGGGATAAGCGAGCTATTACTTTTTCACAGGCACTTGTTAAATTTACCAGGCCTCGGCGCAAGCACGATCGCGTGGAAACACTGGTCGATCGTCTAGATACTGAAGATTCTTGCACTTAAGAATCATCGTCTTGCGGTACATCTTTATCTGCTTGAGCACCGGGTTGCCAGTCAACGTTACAACGCGCAATGACTTCATATCTCCCAGAATCTAAACAATTCAACTCTTGCACGCGCTTTCAGCAAATGAGACACCTCGAAGGGATTAAGCCCTATCGTGAAAATATTTTCTAACAAATCTATGTAAAGCCTAAATGAGCTTTGTGTTCTTAACTTAACTTAGAAAAAAACTAGATAGAAACCATCAAGCTTTTATTTATAACGCAATTAATGATTATTACTATAACAATTTTTACGTGCACAATTAAGATAATATTAATTTGCAATCGAATATTATTTAATATTTATTCTAATCGCGTTTTACCTGCCATTTTGGAAATATATTCCGGTTGTGCGTAATTATCGACTTACGTCAACGACGTCGCAGGTGTCGATCCTGTTGTGAGAGATATCCAAGATCGAGAGCGCGTGTAGTAGACGGAGATGCTCGATGTCAGCGGTTTCTCGTAGATAGTTGTGCGACAGGTTCAGGTTGTTCAGGAACTTGAGGCTGTCTGAAAAGCAGAAGCACGTCAAGGTCAAGGTCATCTGGGATAATACCCGCTTCTCGACTCGAGTCACCGAGATTCTCGATCCTCCGTATCGTGTTGTGCGAGAGGTTCAGGGTGTCGAGCTTCGTTAGGCAGTCGAGATTCTCGATCCTACTGATAAGGTTGTGGTGTAGATAGAGGCATTTGAGTTCGCTCTGATTTTCCAAATTAGCAATCTCTCGTATACCGTTGCTTTCTAGCCACAGACACTTCAGACCTGTGTATTTTTCGAGGCTCTCGATGAAGGTAAATCCTAAAAAACAAATTCTTTCTTGACACCTTTTATATGAATGATACAATCGTGTATTATGCCTTTATAATGCATGCCTTTATAATGCAAATACAAAACGTCGTTCAAATACGGAGTCTGATAGAGTTTGTGTTCTTTGCAGTGCTTCCTAATTAGTTCTTCCGTCATTCTGAAATCATTATCCGTTTTTTAATGGATGTTAACGATTAACCGTGTTAGTGTGTTAAATTAATATTTCGAGAACTCACCTAACACCATGCTTTTTCTCGTCGAAGTCATAGATTTTTCCTTTGACATATGTCTTTTCCGGTTCTTTCAACTCCTCCGTGAAAGAATCGTCGAAATCCGAATCGACCTCAATCGCCGTCTCAAACGTTTCATTTGAAAATTCCTCACCTATCTTTTCGTCATTTTTAGATTCATTTTTAGATTCATTTTTGGCTTCTTCATCGACATTTGCGTCATCGCAAGCTTGTATCGGTTCTGACTTCTCCAAAGTCAACTGGATCTTTTCTAAATCTGTAGCAATAATTTCCTGATATTCATCCATTAGTTTCTTGTGCTCTTCCATCTCATTCGCCAATTCTTTTTCTAACTCTTCGACTTTCAAATTCTCGGTTATTTCGAATTTTGTTAGAGGAACTTCGAAGCTTTCCGGATCAATTTGAACTTGAAATTCGTCGAGACTGTCGGAATCGCCGGTGACATCCTCTAGAGTTTTGTGTTCACAGGAATTGTTATCAGATACGCAAAAGGCATAATTATGATCGGCAATGAGCTTATCAATTTCCTCTAATTTTTTGGATAATGTCTCTAGCGATTCTTTCTTTCGCTCTTCTATTTTCTTCTTTTCCTCGGCCATCTTCTTCAAAGTTTCTTGTATCTCGATGCACGACCTAGGACGATCTGGCCATGTAATTTCAGCTAATTTCTGCAAATTACTTTCAACAATGTCAGACTCTGAGATTGCAATCTTTTCATTTATCGTATTTGTTGAATTTATTTTAGTGTCTTTATTCTCGGTGAAATCAATTCCCTTTTTATTTACTGTCTCATTGACTCTTTCATCTTTTTCTTTATCATCTCTTACCTTTTCCGTAGATTTTTCTGACAAAGTGTTTTTGTCGCAATTCTCAGTTATCTGAATAGCATTTTTTGTTGCTGACACGTCCCAACACGGACCGTCAGTTAATATCTTCTCCGCTTCTTCGATAGTTCTTAGTATATCTTCTTTAGCTATGGCAGTTTCGGAAACGACGCGACGACACGGGAAAAGTTCGTTTTCTCGAAATTTCTTAATTACACATTCGCTAGTCGATCGTATGAGATCTGTACTCGGGATAGGTGAGTATTGCTGAAAATTGGCAGGGACATGGGGGCAGCTTTCGATGATTTTCGTCATCACGTCATCGTGATCGTTCTCCATTTTTGCGGTTAAGCCTTCTATCATTCGTTCTTCCGCCGAATCGTAATGTTCATCGTCGCTGGTGCAAAGATTCTTGATTATCTTATCCATTTTTTTTATTTCTGTAATCGTTTCTTCGATATCGTCATCGTCAGCTCTTGACGTATGCCTCGCGTTCTCTTCTATGCGTTTCAGGAGCTCCAAGTCGTCTTTAAAATAACTCTCGTTACTCATAAAATAATTATCAGGTTCTATTGTTGAAAGTGATATGTTCTTTTTATCTAGTTTTTCTCGCAGAGAACCTTCGATATTTATGCATGCAACATTTTGTGCAAGCTTCATCTCTTTCACTTTTTTAATGCCTTCTTCAACAGTTTTACATGTGACAACATCGCCTTTTTCAGAAATATCCTGCGAATTATCATTATTATCAACAGCTTGTCGCATTGTCTTGTTATCATCCTCTACGTTGAATCCACTAGTCAAAGAAATCCCTGAATCGACGAGTTTTTCTCCACCACATCCTGTCTGATATATTTTTTCATGCTCTGAATCAATGCTAACAAAACTTTCCAGCAATTCTGTTAGGTTACTTAAAGAACTCGTGCGTTGATCATTTGTCAGAAATTCCTCTTGAATCATTTTCTCACTGTCTTTAGAATCATCTTCTTGAACTGTCTCGTTATAATCGAAATCATGGTATATGGAAACATCGCAATCGCTCATACGAGAATTAAAATAAGACAGATTTTCATGATTCAAATCGATCATCTGATCGCAATTTAAGGAAACTGGCGGAGCGTTGTATTCATTGACGGCGTTTGTTGTTTCTATTTTCTCACTTCCGCATAAATTTTCACATTTCTCCACTTCAGATTGGGACCTCGCAGTATAGTTTAGAATCTCATGCTCTGCTGGACTAGCCTCGACAACCTTTTGAAAATATGAATTGATCGATTTATTCCGTTTACAAATACAATCGCGAGAAACAAGATATAGAAACATTTTAATCTTTGTATCCATATTTAACATATAGAAACGTAATAAACGTTGCAAATATCATGTAAAACGCGAGAAGAAGCACGAGGCATCACATTAAAGCGTTATGTAATAAATGAAAGAAATGTCTTCGCAGTATTTACCTTGTGATCGGATACAGAAGATGCATTTGTACGAGCACCAGATAATATAAAAATTTGACTGGCATTCTCTGCTAGGGAACTGAATGAGAGATCGCGTGAGTTTATCGTTTCATCGTCGCGCTCAAACGCGCTCATGATTAAGAACGCTTTTGTAATCAAATCTTTCTTGGAATCTATGAAAACGCAGATCGCGAATTCCAAACAGAACTGACGTGACCGATGACTGAAAACAAGAACGCGGCGCCATGGTCACCGTCAGTTACAAGTTGTTTAGTCGATAGGGTGGGCCATCTCCGCGCTCTTCAAGTCGCAACGTCACATCGTGAAGCGTGAATATAATTTTCCAATTTTTCTTTTACCGATTAAGATTTTATATCTCGTTTGTCTTGCCCGGCGAATGGGATTCCCGAAGACTGAACGCGGAATCTTGGAACGTTCTGATCCAATCTGCGTCCGCGATTCACGCGTGCAACCATGAGGCCGGTCATCCTCGCGCTTTTCTCGCGGTGGAAAATGCACCGCATCTTAAATGCAGCATCGAGAAAACACCGAGCTGATTGGCATAGATGATCGATCGCACGCGGCAGTATGCAAGCACAATGTTAGCGGTTACGGGGTTGTCTCGTCCACGATATCTATTCGTCAGCGATCTTCTCTCGCTTTGTTTTCGTTGCGTCTGGATGCACAACACATATGAGTGCCGCCTGTTTTTCCTCTCGATTTCAGATTCCGCGCTCGCCCCTCGTCGACTCCCCGTCGCCGTTGCCTTCGTCAACGTCGTCGGTTGTCGTCGTGGCCGTCGTCGTCGACTCTTCGTCGCGCGGTCGACGATGATGTTCGCGAATGATGCTATCAACATAATCCAGCGGAAAAGACGCACGGTGGCGATTCGTAAATGCCGTGCACTCCCGGGATGGCCTCTGAGGATCACGATAGCGGGAAATCGCGACGCGCCAACATGTGTGGTGCAAGTCCTTCTTCGCCGTGCATAGATCCGCCTTTTTTTTATTTTCCCCTTCTCGAGGCACGACGCACGGTCGTCTACTTTGCCAGACGCGTCTTTCTACGCAGTAGCTGCGATTCCATGCGTTCTTACCGTCGTGATAATAGAACATTTGGTTCGCACAGTATTCTGTATTTTCTCGTGCGATCGTAGTTCGCGCGGGGAAGCGTTCGCGGATTTCTGTGCTCTCCGATTTCCGTGAATTTTTATATCATTTTAATGACGATAAAACCAAAATGTACAATTCCAATGTATTAGAAAGAAAGCGTGAAAATGTAACTGATCGACTTCGTAGCTGATCAATACTAACTGGGCAGCCGATGTTGATGCAACCGGTTCGATTGTATCGGTAACGCAACGGCCGCGATTAATTAATTCTTTTAGGACTGGAATGTGTAGCAATATTATACTTGATACTATTAGTCATTTTTAGATTATAATCTTATTTATTGCATGTACGCAGATTTTGAAAGACATACGGTCTTTAAATCTAGGTCGCGCGTATAATAGTTGTCATTGCTTCGATCCCAGTTACGCTTTCTCGATGTTTCTTGAGCGATCACGATCGGTACAATAACGCGCGTCTTACGTCACAGTGGCACGCACTTTTTCGCGGGTCGACTCGGTGGTGAACGGTCCGGTTTCACTCGCAAGGCTTTCGCACATTATTGCGTCAAGATAGACGTATATTTCAAACCGTTAGATAGTTACGATGAAAAATTCTAGTCCTTGCTCCAGTTATAAAGGTTTAAGGCCATGTAATAATAGTCACTCATAGAATTCCAAAGCGATATTCCTGGCGCCTAAAGAAAACCTCGACTTTCGTAAGTTCAGTCGTTAGGCCATTGATGACATCACGCAGCATAATTCTAATCGCTGATACAGAAACGCGAGAAGCTTACACGGAAGTTACACGTGTACTTGACACCGCGTAATACAATCTCGTCGGTTGCAACGATTGCCACGCGAGTTACGTTTTGCATACCAATGTTTTCTAACGTTGATATTATTTAATCGATTGAACAGAAAATCGCTCTACGCAAAAAATAATCCGGTATCTGCCATTTTAATCGCGATGCTACTTTGATTATTCTTGTAATTTTACTTTTATATTACGTGCATCGATTTAAAAAAAATGATAGAACTTATGATTGGTAATTAGAAAATTATCGATGATGTAGTTCTGTAATTTTCCCGTAACGGTTAATTATTACGTCAAATCGTCCCGTTCATTTGATTCTTAAGAGCGCGAGACATACCTACATACGAAATTACGCGGCCGATTTTCGCACTGTCGATTCTGCGGGACTTTACTTCTTCGACTTTCATTGTCAGCTAAAAATACACCCCGTCATGCGGTCGAATCGAAACGCGATCAAAGATCGTACGGATAGATATGAATTTTTGGCATCGGGTGAACCATTTTACCTCTCGCGAGACGCCTCATGACCGTGACCTCGAGGATCCTCCACAGAGTGGCAAGCATGGCAGTGGACGTATGAATATGTACGGGGTGTACTAAAATCTCTGAGCTTGCAAGAGTGAACTTCGCGAGGAGACAAGCTGATTAAATTCGATTTTGATCAAGATATACAAAAGATACAGAGCTTGAAAAATTTGTCGTATTAAAAATTTTTGATAACATTTCTATAAATTGTATACAGCAAGAAATAATTTGCAAAATAATTTTTCAGAATGCATACAAATATTTAAAATATATTGTTTTAATCTTAGCCTGAAAACATTTCACAGAGATTTGTTTCTGTTTACAGCTTTGACTTAAAGTGAAACTAAAAGTTTAATGATAAACTTCACACATGTCCATATGACACCCTTTATATTGAGACGAGTGTTTGCCGTGATACGCTTCGGGATCGCGACTCGAATGTATTATGTAATTGTCGACGATCCTGGGCAAGGGAGCTTCTCCGTGCCAGCTTTTTAAAAAGCAAAGTAGCCGTGGGTGGCCATCTCCTTCTTCTTGCGAATGCAGGATCACACGTCGAGGGAGGAGGCGGAATCGTATTTGAATACGCTTTGAATCGATGATCGACCGTGAATGTCTGGACGTCACGCATGTAATTTATCGATTTAAAGACCGCTGAAGCGGGAAGACTATGGTCAAAGAACTACAAAGTAATCGCTCGTATCAGCTGATTACCGCCCGACTGTCGACGTTGTATCTCTCGGTACTCGATATTTTAGTGAATCTGATCGTATCTCAATAGGCTTTTAATTATCGTTGATAAAAAGGATTTGTCTTCCACTACATTTAAACTATAATAACCCATACAGTACCAAAGCTTTCAGAAACATTTCAGAAACATTGCAACATTGCAACAATGTTTTCTGAAATGTTTCTGAAAGCTTTGGTGCTGTATGGGAATATTTTCGTCGCGAATTAACAATCATCGCAAATGTCATAAAAAGATGAAAACGGAATTTTCTTAGATATTTTCGATGGAATATTTCTTTAAGTTTCTTAGCTTATATATACAAAAAGTTTATATTATTATAATAAATATATTACATGTGATATAACGTTTAATGAAGAAATTGATTAACATTTCTTATTGTTATATAAGATTCTTATGTAAGAATAGATATTATATCTTTATTGATTTTCGACTATAAGTTTTCAAATACCTACATTTAAAGAAATATTTTCGCATTTCTATATTATACTGACTGAAATACGCACGTGATCGCCTTAATATCCATACTGACAATAATATAAAAAGCATCAAATATTAAAAAAATTTTATACGTATGTATAACGTATAAACATGTAAAATCCTCCGTCTTCTTCCCGAATAACCTTCTCTTGGTTTGACGTATATAACCTAAGACAATCTAATCCGTTACGAAATGACTTGTAAATGTTGATCTTTAATTTCATGGTCTCTGAAAAATTACAAAAAGACGAGGTGAAGAGCATTACCAAGTACAATTGAATGGGTAAGCCTAAGACAATGTGTCTGACTGAACTTCGCCTACGGGCCAAGGAAACTCTTCAAGAGGGATTCGTGCAACACACAGATCAAGATATTTCACAGTCTTTAGAAAAACTTTGATACAACCAGAATGAAATGAGATAAATCTGTTCAATAAACATAACAGTACTTCGTAAAGTATAAAAAGATGTAAATAAATAAGAGAAAAGCAATAGAAAGTGATGTACGTACTTAAAATTATGATATAACGATCCATGCAACATGCTGCTTGATTTGAGGAAATTGAAAAAATAATCACTGTTTACTTATTGGCACCAATTTACTGAAGAGTAATTAAAGAAATGTTATATTATATGTGGGCCGTAAAACAAAATCAAAATGGTTCATTCAAACATCGTGTCAAGCGCTCTACGCTCCGTTCGGAGAGTTTGTAATAAAACGATGCAGAGTTGTCGACATTCCACGCGTGGCGGGAAAACGTGTCTGTGCTGCAAGAAAAGCGTCTATTATCCTGTAATCATGTATCGGAACAAGGGAAGCCGGTACCGATGAAAAAGAAACCGAGGGCGAGGAACGATGACTAGACGGTATCCTCGAACGAGCTAGTCGCGAGTATAAATCGAGTATAAATCGCTTCAATTTATAACAGGTAACATAAAGTTGTAAACTTCTCTAGACATTAACAAGAATTCGAACTATAAAAATTAATTTTTGCAAATTTGCTTGAACGCGCGATTGACGGATAAAAAATTTAAATTTGTCTTGCCACACTTGTTCAAATATTCTTTCCATTATTTTAATAATTTCAACGAAAATCAAATTTTCTTTAATTCCATTTTTTTTGCAAGAATATTCTTCCTCCGAAAGAACACGTTTCTCATTTCTCACGTTGCTCGCCCGGGCTCGTATAGAAGCCTCGCCGGCCATCTCGTTGGCTATGCTGTTTTTATAACCGAATACCAGCGAGCCTAACGCTGCTGCAGCCGATCCGTCTCTCTAATGTTCACGGTGCAGTGTAGCCATGCAGCCGCGACGACGCTCCGCGGAAAATTCATAAATAATTGATAGGCAAGACGCGGCGACGAGAGAGCAGATACCCACGGATCGTCCCTGAGACTGACGGATTCGTTTATTGTTTATATAGCGATTTTCTTCGGTTCCCCACGACGACATAGACAACCATAATGGTGGCATCGCCATCGCGCGCTGG